TCAAACTACAAGATACAATTTTTTTTTCAATTCCCTAGCCCCTTGAAATATTTCCGAAATTTTTCCCTAGTCCCCCTGGGAAGCACTTCACTCCTGTGTTTTTTCATAACATCTTGCAGTCTGGGTATTTTTGCAAGTCAAATCATCTCAATTTTACCAAAAATCGATTTATCTCATAAAAATACGCCATGAAAAGTTCTCATTTTTTTTACTATCCCCCCTGGGGAACACTTTACTTGGGTGTTGTTTCATATAATCTTGTGAACCATGTATTTTTGCAAGTGAAATCATCTGAATTTTCTCAAAAATCGATTTATCTTATAGAGATACACAATGAGCATTTTTGAAATTTTTTCCCAGCCCCCCCTGGGTAGCCTTTTACTCGTGTGTTTTTTCATAAAATCTTGCGGACTGGGTATTTTTGCAAGTCAAATCATCTCAATTTTCTCAAAAATCGATTATTCTCATGAAAATACACCAAGAAAAGTTCACATTTTCTTCTCCTATCTCCCCTGGGGAGCACTCACACACTCGTGTGTTTTTTCCTCGGTTTTTTCATAAAATCTTGTAAACCGAGTATTTTTGCAAGTTGAATCATCTCAAGTTTTTGGAAAATCGATTAATCTTATGATGATACACAATGAAAATTAACGAAATTTTTCCCCAGCCCCCTGGGGAGCACTTTACTCGTGTTTTTTCATAAAATCTTGTGGACTGGGTTTTTTTGCAAGTCAAATTATAGCTAGCTCTCTTACAACAAAAAAATCACATTAACAAAATTAGAAGACAACTAAAAAAAGATTACTTTGAGAAAAAGTGGGAATCCACAGGCAACCACCCAAAAAAGCAGTGGCAATTCATAAATGGTTTAATAAAAGGAAAAACCAATAAAAGGGAAACTGAATGTATAGTAATGGATGGTCAAACAATACATTGTAAAAAAGAAATTGCACAACAATTCAATAAATATTTTGTGAATGTAGGGAAAACAATAATTGATAAGATTGGGGGTAATTTACAAGGTCCCCATATTGATCTTGAGGAGGTCGAGGGAAATGAAGCCATATCTCTCCGCAGTACTAATGTTTAAGAAATGCATAAAGTAATCAAGGAACTAAATAAAAATTCGGCAGCAGGAGATGATGGAATAACTACAAGGGATCTAATCTTATTACAAGATGCAATTGCACCAATCCTGGTCAACTTGATAAATAAAACGTTTCAACAGGGTATTTTCCCAGACATTCTCAAGATTGGTAGGGTGACCCCAATTCATAAAACAGGACCAACTAGTCGAATTGATAATTTCAGACCAATAACTGTAATATCTTGCCTATCAAAAATTACTGAGATTATCGTAAAGTCAAGAATTATTGAATTTATCGAAAAAGACGTCCACTTCGACAAATACCAGTACGGGTTCCAACCTAAAAGCAATACAATGAGTGCTACCATTGATTTTGTTAATTTTGTCTCCTCTAATCTAGATGAAAAAAGATATGTCGTAGCAGTATTTATAGACTTACAAAAGGCTTTCGATGTAGTAGATCACAGGATCTTACTCGAAAAATTGGAAAAAATGGGAATACGTGGCAATTTACTAACACTTTTGAAAACATATCTATATAATCGGGAACAATATGTCTGCATAGACAGCATTAGAAGCGAAGTAATGAATATACATTGTGGAGTGCCGCAGGGGTCTGTATTAGGACCCCTACTGTACTCACTACATGTTAGGAGCCTAGAAAAAGTAGAACTACTTGGGAGATACTTTACTTTTGCAGACGACACCGTCCTAATCTACAGTAACGAAAACCACGAAAATTTAGAGATAAGAATAAATGCTGACTTAAATTTGTATAATCATTGGATAACAAAAAACAAACTCAAAATAAATACAAAAAAAACAACCTTTATGGTGTTTACGCAAAGAAATACAAACTTTGAGGAGATTAACATAAAAATTGGAGGCGAGGAGATCCAATGAGTTGAAAATACAAAATATCTTGGCCTAGTTGTAGACGACAAAATGAATTGGAGTAAACATATTGACCACATTGAAAATAAAGTAGTACCGATGATCGGAGCGATCTATCGATGTAGAGACTATCTTGATCACAAACTATATACTCAAATCTATAATGCATACTTTTTATCTATTTTCAGATACTTGATTCCCTTATGGGGATCCTGTGGGCGTACACTATTTGAGAAAGCAGAAAAACTACAAAATAAAATTGTAAAAGTTTTATTCAATATCGAATTCAGAACACCAACAATCAGAACACCAACAAAATTGGTTTATAAGCAAACTGGCATTTTACCAATCTCAGAAATATTGAAAATTGAACAGAGTAAATTTATGTACAAGGTTTGCAAATCTGAACAGAAGTGTAATTCACGAATTAAATTAAACCATGAAGTCCATCCCTATGAGACAAGGAATCAACGAAATATATACATCAAGTCCACAAGAACGAACATTGCTTTAAATAACCCTCTCATTAAATGTATCAAAACTTTTAACTGTCTCCCAGTGGCTCTGAGGGAAGCCGAAAACATAAAAATATTCAAAAATGAACTGTCTAAGAGAATCTCTAACAATAACATCACTATATACGAAAATCAGATTGGGCAGTAACAATGAAATGAAAAAGTGTAGACTTAAGAAGTTCCGAGACCAGCATTACATGCTGATTTGGAATTGTTTTTCAAATACTGTCCGAAACATGTATGTACGAAATTGAAAATAATCAGATTGTGAACTATTTGAATAAAGCCTTTAAAAAAAAATCATCTCAATTTTCTCAGAAATCGATTCATCCCATGAAAATAAACAATGAGAAGTTTTTGAAATGTTTCCCTAGCCTCCCCTGGGGAGTACTTTACTGGTGCGTTTTTTCATAAAATCTTGCGGACTGGGTACTTTTGCAAGTCAAATCATCTCAATTTCCTCAAAAAACGATTTATCTCATAAAAATATATGATGAAAAGTTTTCAAAATCGTTCCCTAGCCCTCCTGGGAGGACTTTCTTGGTGCCTTTTTTCATAAAATTTTGCGGACTGGGTATTTTTGCAGGTCAAATCATCTCAGATTTCTCAAAAATCAATTTTTCTCAAAAAAATCCACGATGAAAAGTTTTTGAACTTTTTCGATAGCCCCCCTGGGGAGCACTTTACACTTACTTAACTAAAAACTTGCGGACTGGGTATTGAGATAATTTGACTTGCAGAAATACCCAGTCCGCAAGTTTTTATGAAAAAACACATGAGTAAAGCGCTCCCCAGGGAGACTAGGAACAACTTTTAAAAACTTTTCATCTTGTATGTTCATAAGATAAATCAATTTTTGAGTAAATTGAGATGATATGACATGCTAAAATAACCAGTCCCGTGAGTTTTTTTTAAACATGTGTTAAGTCCCCCCCAGGGGAGCTAGGGAAAAATTTTGAAAACTTTCTATTATTTCCATGAGATGAATCGATTTTTGAGTAAATTGAGATGATTTGACTCGCAAAAATACCCAGTCTACAAGATGTTATGAAAAAACACATGAGGAAAGTGGTCCCCAGGAGGGCTAGGAAATAACTTTAAAAAATGTTCAACTTGTATTCTCATGAGATGAATAGATTTTTGAGTGAATTGAGATGATATGACTTGTAAAAATACCGAGTCCACAAGTTTTTATGAAAAAACAAACGAGTAAAGTGCTCCCCAGGGGGGTTAGGGAAAAAATTTCAAAAACTTTTCATTATGTATTTCCATGAGATAAATTGATTTTTGGTAAAATTGAGATGATTTGACTTGCAAAAATACCCAGTCAGCAAGATTTTATGGAAAAACACATGAGTAAAGTACTTTGCAGGGGGGCTAAGGAAAAAAATTAAATTTTTATCATCATATATTTCCATGATAAATTGATTTCTGAGGAAATTGAGATGAATTGACTTGCTAAAATACCCAGTCCACATGTTTTTATGAAGAAACATACAAGTAAAGTGCTTCCCAGGGGGGCTAGGGAAAAACTTCAAAAACAATGATTTGTTAGCTAGAAATAGCCAGATCACAGCATTTTATTCCAGTTGGTAAATTATACACACCTGACTTTTTGTGGGCAAACCTATATCATTGTGTTTATAATAAAACAGTGCTTATTTTTGAGTTCAATTTATAAATTCAAATAGGTGAGAATATCAAGGACCAAAATACCAGTTTATACCTGGCAACCCAATAGTTAGATGGAGAAAAATATAGGCAACCCCTGGGGCAACCCCATGTTTGCATATTCTTTAGGCTTTGTACTTGGTTGGTGTACATTTTTTTCATTAAACTCATGGGTAGAAATTAAAAAAATAATGATCAAATTTTTGATTAATCATAGCCTGGCCAGGATTTTTCAGACAACCCATTTTTCTTATAACAGGTGGGCCAAAATAAGTTATGTGATGTTTTTGATTATGTTTAGTTGAACCTTTACATACCTGTTAAACCAGTAAATATAAATCAGGAACCAGAATTGCAGTTTTTCATTTAGAAAAAATTCAGAGACAGACAACAATGGATAACTTCTTTTGGCCCATCTTGTAATCATCATGCTAAAGTACTTATAAACTAATTTACATTCAATAAACATATGGGTGAAGGCGAGGGTGAAGGTGAGTTAGATTAAAACAGATAGTAGTTTTTCAGTGACTCCAATTTTTCCTACACAATTTAACCTCAAATTTCCCAATGAGTTAAAATAAGAAAGTAGTTGGACCAGAGGTTTCTAACCCTGGACCAACCAATGCATAAAACAAGCATGTATGTTTCTCTCTTTACCATCATATTTGTACTATCTGCTGAACTTATGTACATAAAAAACCATTACAAAACAAATTGATATGCAAATCACCATAAATCCATCTACCTATATGATGTCATGATGGTTGAGTTGCACTATCTTTTAGTGAAATTAATGGAAATTAGAAACCTAGCACACTCTATCAATTGCATACCTTTTTACGAACACCCTCTTGTTGAGAAGATAGTTTGAGCAGAACAGGGGGCAAAAACTTGCACAATACATTCTGTAACTGTTCATCAGTTTCTGCAGATCCCAACCGAAGAAAGACTCTCTCAAGTAGCACTAGAATAATGTTATGAGGAAAGCTATGTTTTGGTAATTTGACCTGAGACACAGATTATGGCTGAGGATGACATTCAAAAAATATTTAATAGTATTTGATATTTGTATCATTAGAATGAGGTACGAAAAACAGTAAAAATTACAAACTTACTTAGTTCATCTGCTGCCACTGCCATTTCAAAATTCTAATATCCTGAATCCTGATACTCCTAATCTGATATACTTTCAAATTCGTAGGTGTATCAATAATTGAAATTTTGGTATTATTATTCAAGACTTCAAGAATTCATATATTCAGTCTATTCGACTGCAGACCACTTTGGTCATGCTCATTTTAGTCCGACCAATGAACATGTCGAACACCTTTCAACCACAATATTTTTTAAACTATCATGCTGTCATTTTCATTTTCAATCGTTATTATTTTTGAGGTTATTAGTTATTAATAGTAAGATTATTCCGATTATTCCGAAAATATGAATGATGAATGAAAAAAAAAGAATATGTCTCCTTGCAGTTGGAAATTTGATCTGCTCGGAATCCGATGATGTAGACTTGTTACTCAATTCAATAATTGCATTCCTACAAGTCCAAATAGATGTGCTTTTTTGCAATGCTTCAGGTATAGTAGATTGTTTTTTTACACTTGTGAATAATCCTTGCTCATAGAAATACAATTTCTTACAGTTCACAAATTGCGACAATTCAGTGAAGAAAGAATATTGAAAAGCAGATTAGAAACAAAATGTTATTTACAAGATGTTGGATTTCATACACATTTCAGAATGTCCAGGATAACTTTTGAGGTAAACAATTGAAAAGGTGTGGCTTGAAAGTAGGCACAACTATAATAATTGAAGCAAATAATTGTTTTACTTGGATAATTAGTATATAGCTATTATAATTTATAATTTCCTTTTATTATTCCAGAAGTTACTGACAATCATTGGAAACAATTTGGAAGGAGTAATTCTTCATGTACCCTTGCAGCAGCAACTTCTCACAACATTATGGATACTAGCCACTCCTGACTCATTCCGAAGTGTTGGTAAGAGGATATCCATCATTTCATTTTAATGCAAGATATACTGATATTTTAATTTATACCTATTTTAGGAGAGAACTTTGTCTGTCCTGTGGCAACTGTACATGATAGTTATGTGAGGATAATCAATGTACTGTTCAGGTTAAGTTCAAAATTCATAAAATGGCCATCTGCACAGAATCTGACCAAAATGCAGAAATCTATCATGGATAAATATGGATTTCCTGGTGTTGCAGGTTATATTGATGGTACATACATTAATATCAAGGCACCAGAAGAACCAGTTCGTTATTTTAACCGGAAAAAGCAAACAGCTCTGATCCTGCAAGGTGTATGTGACCAACAACTAAAATTTATTGACGTTTATTTTGGTGAAGTTGGTAGCCTTCATGATTCAAGAGTCTACAGCCGAAGTCCATTGTCTAAACTGATAAAAGAACAGCCAGTTGTCTTATTGGGTAATAATGGACATCTGTTAGGAGATTCAGCTTATCCACTGAGCCTCACTATGATGACACCATTCAGAGATAATGGACATCTTCTAGATGAGGAGAAAAATTTCAACCATATCCATTCTAGATTAAGAAGTGCAATAGAGCGATCATTTGGTCTACTAAAAAGTAAATGGAGACGATTAAAATATTTAGATTGCATTGTATTTGAATACATGAAAAAACATGTGATATCTTGTTGTATGTTACATAATTTCATAATCTTAGAGAAAGATAAGTTCTTGCATATGGATGTGAATGAAAATAATGCCAATGAAGAACATCACAATGAATTTATATGGAATAATGCAAGAGTAGGTGGAGCACAAGCCAAAAGAAATGAAATTGCTGCTTCATTGTATGATAAATATTTTTGTCAGTGATGTTCACTCTAATAAATAAAGTTTCAAGTTTCTTGTTTTATTCAATTCAGAATGTACTAGTAATTAAATCATTGATACAGTATTATAGTCAGTTATTCAAAGTGTAGTTAATGAAAAACAAAAAGATTCAATGAACACATTTTTTATTGGAAAATGTGGAACATAAACTCATGAGTATATAGAATAATAGACAGCTCTGAAATCTAGATGCCCTGGTCCTGGTGCTGTTTTGAAGAACTATGTATCTTTCAAGTTTCTACAAAATAAATGATGACTTCTTATATACAATGTGTCCATATTAAGAATTTATCACCCCTGTAAAATTATTGTTTGATAAGATTTTGATAAACTTTTCTTTGGTATGGATCAAATAATGATTTTACAGAGGTGGTGTGTTCATATACATGAAGGAACATGAACCACAAGGATACTGAAAAATAATAAAAACAACTCAACATTATTCTCTATCAGGTACAATAGATATCTCAGGTAAAAAATTACTAAATTATTTTAGAATACTAATAGCAAGCAATAAAATCTCAAATGTCTCAATCTGTCAATTTTTCCAGTGCAGTAGCTACACGATCCAATATTGAGTTCCTCTGAACCTGTACCTGCTTGAAATCATTGAATGTTTCCTTCAATTCTCGGATGTTATTGTTTGTTTCCTTGAATGATTTCTCCAACCAATCTTTAGTAGACGTTTGACTTTTTTTTTTAACTGTTCTAGCAGTATCTACTGTTTCTGCACCAACAGCTGCAGTGATCATGGGGTTATAAGCTGGGTCAAATGCAATAATTTCCTCAACTTTTTCGAAATAATCCCACTGCACTGCACCACGTCCAGACTTATTTTCAATAGATTTTTTCTTCTTGTACATTGTTTGGAGGCCCCTCCACTTTCGTTCGCAGCTCTCCCAAGTGACTTTATATTTGTTTTTTTTCAACACACCTGCTATTTCACCAAATAAAATTCTTTTTTTATGAGGTTGTTGAAGGTTGTCTTTCCTCTTCAGTAATTCATCCAGTAACAACAACACAGCATCTCGTGACCATATATACCTTTGCTCCACAATAGGACTTGCTGAAAATGATTACAATTATTTTAAGACTATTAAAATAATATGTGAACCTACCTGCTTGGTCTTCAGCTGATAATTCAATGGAATATTCATCAATCTCATTGAATGTGTCATGTAAATTTTCAGATGACACTGCAACGGAATATTCATCAATCTCATTGAATGTGTCATGTAAATTTTCAGATGACACTGGGTCAAAGTTTTCAATATCTTCAACTGTGTCCATATCGTATTCTATATTAGGTTCAGGTTCAGGTACAAAAATAGGTGTTATAAGATTTTTTTGATATAGTTTGTAGTACCTCTCTGCCAACTCTTCAAGAAAAACAGGATCTACAAAGGAATCGGGAGGTACATAACATATGGATTTTTGTTTTTCAATGTGTATTATCTTTGTTATATCAAAGCTATCAAAGCAATCTCACCTGCGTTTGCTTTATCAATGTCATTTATCCTCAATCGAACTCTGAACTTAACACCATTCTGGTGTGTTATGTTAACGAAGTGAAATGATTCTCCAACTTCACTGCCAGTGGTATTCATTGTTTTGTGTTCAGTTTATAATAATTGCTGTGTAATAAACAAATTGTCAACAAATAATCAAATCCTGCAGTGAACCCATCGAACAAATTCGACCACAAAATTTACACTTCAAAACGCGACCGTATTCAACTGGTCAGCCGACGTAGTTCAACCAATGGACCGAACGGATTTGCTTGGTCCGACCGTGGTCAACCCGCGTATCGAACGTAGCCAATGACTTTTGTGGACCAGTGTTGGCAGTGTTGCCACTGTTGCCAGTAGTGGTGGAAAACTATCGATAGCACTATCGATAGTATCGATAGTTTTGTACTATCGAAACAATCATAGATTTTGAATACTATCGATGAACTATCGGTTCAGAGTTTTGCACAGAAACCAAGCTATTTTGACCAAAGTAAAAAATCGCTCTCAAATATTGATGCTCAATGTCTACGACACTCATTAAGCTCCTAAGGTGATCTAAAAAAAACAATTTCAACAAGAAGAATAGATTTAATGGAAATTATAATGTTGGAACAATGTATCTAGAAAAAAAAATTATGTCCCAGTACTCCCATTATATGTAGGAGAGAGGTAAAACATGAGATCAAGGGCGGTCCTATGGCGGGTAGAAAAGGTAGATCATCAAAACAGATCTATTTTTGGATTTCATTCATAGAAAAAATTGTGAAAATAAAATCAGCAAGAACATTAACAAAAATACGTCTCTCGCTGCATTTTTTGTGCATTGTAATGAATAGTCGAAACACACGATTCGTATGCCAAAATAAACTACATTCATAATGACATACAGTGAGTCCAAGATAAGGATGTATATTATGAGGTATAGTTGATGATGGTTTCTCCATGATAATTTTGTTTTGCATTTCGTGTGATGATATTATCGATAGATTTTTCTGAATAGTCTGTTTTACAAATTGATGGAACAGCAGATTCTCTCTAACGGATCTTAAAATCTTCTGTTCAAATATGGGTCTGAAATATAGTTTCATTCTAATCTGCTGTTATAAGAAGTGAATTTCAATGTATGTATCTCACAAATTCTACTTATCTCCAAATCAATTTTCCATCCAGGCCGTTTCAAAAATTCCTTCGATATAGGAGGATGTTTGATATTTCCTTTCAAAAATTAAATAAATGAAATCCATTCTCTTCTTAATTTCCACAATTCATTACACAGCAGGACATTTTCAATTATGCTTTCTTATCAATAGTTCATGAAATTGTATTGCACTTCTGACGTTCATGAAATAAATAATCAAATTCGGACAATTTTTGTTCAATGAAATAGCGTTGAGACATTTCCCGAACGACGTTTCGTTTCGGAAAAACTATCATCAATTATACCCCATCATAGACATCCTTTCATCATGGAATCACTGTATATCATTGAATGGCGTTTCCAATGCCGATCACACTAGCTATAAGTATATATCCATATGTGTCTATTTTGTCATAATCGAATATGTTACATAAATTCTTTTCATCAGGCGCTATTAGGGAAATTAAAAAGACAAAGAACAGAAAATATGTCTTAATTTAGAAAATATGAAAGAACAGGAGTTCAGCTGTGTCCGAACTCTTTTCAGTGACTTTAGCTGATTTCAGCCCTGCGAGCACAGTCTGAATATTCAGCCATCATTATTTCAGCAATCCCTTCCCTGTTTACTCTTTCCAACTCTCACTACAATTTCAGAGAGATGTCCAGATATTCAAATACTTATTAAACGGCAACCCTGGATTGGAGGTTGAATGAATAATGTCACCAGTATGGTCAACAACAGTCATTCTAGTAGCTTGCCTGATGTCGTTGATTGATTATATTACGCTTACGCTAGCGTAATATATCAATCAACGCTGATGTGCAGCAATGAATCTCATGGTTATCGGAAGCTTATAAATCAATGTTTGAGGTTAAGGTATGATAAGGAAGGAATATACTTCATTTACAACCATATATATGTAATGTTGTCATTGCTAACGTCGTTGGAGGTATGTAATATCTCAGATATGTTCAGAACGAAACAGAGATTTATTAATTTTGATCGAAATATGATGGTTGTAAATAAAATAGTATACAAACCTCGGTAGGAAGTTTCATTCCTGTCTCGAGATTATAGGTTACCTCGACGCTTTGCGTCTCGGTTAACTAACTAATCTCACGCCAGGAATGAATCACTTCCCACCTCGTTGTGTAATACTATTCTGCATGAAAACCAATATTCCTTCTTGCTCAATAGATGAAACTTTCGAGTAGCTCTTGATAGCTCAGTGAATTGTGTTTCTGACTTCCACGGCGGTGGCTCGTGTTATTAGTCGTGTTTGAGATGTTTATATAATAAGTCTCCCTTCGAGGAGTTTTTTTTCACTGAAGTAATTGCTCGAAAGGATATACTTTTCAGGAAAAAGGTTCATTCAGGCCGAGATGTCGTATGTAGTCTTCTTTTTCATGCAGAAACGATAGTTTCCTTATAACGTTCTGATATGATTTCCTTGAAATTTTTCGCAGCACGGCAACAAGCTACTAATTGAATAACTGGCAAGAGACGTTTGTGTTGAAAGTATATGGTTGAAAGTTGTTGAAAGTTGAAATATACTATGCCTTTTCTCTTGTTTGAGAAGTGTAACAATTCGTACAAGTCGTGTAATTTACACCGTTTGTGAGCATTCTTTTGAAAAGTGCATTTCACACCAGTGGAGTTGATCTCCACCTGGTCTTGGGTACACAGTAAACTCAAATTCAAGAACTAATAAAATTCTGATAAATGACTCGAAATATATGTGTGATTATATTCATAATATACACCTATACTGGGAAATCAACATATAATAGTACATAGATGGAAATCAGTTACATCAAATACCGCATTTTGAAATCCAAAATTCAATTTTTCTCTTCAATTTTCTTCCTTCGATTGAAATTCGTTAATGTGGCATGACTGGCATGTCAAGAAATATCAGCTGATTCACAGTGTAGTGCATTTTATAAAAAGCAGACGAAAGAACCTAAAGTCGACATATTTGACTTTGACAGTTTGACATTTATTTATTTATTTATTATTTGATGAATATTATGATTAGAATGGAAGTGGATAAGTGGAACTTAACATTTTTTGAAAAATAGCTAGTACTAATGATAATAAAATATAATTGAATTTTTACCTGGAACCATTAATAATTAATCTGCTATTATTTCTCGACATCAACTTCTTGGTATCTCGGTAATTGACAAAGATCATTTTCTGATCAGGAATTAAGTTCAGTACTTCAGACTACAGAGCAGTAATTAAAGATAGCGTTTTCGTTAATTCTCAGTGTTCCAATTGAATCGAAAATGTCTTCAAGACCAGATGATCATAGACGAAAATGGGATAAAGAGGAGTATGAAAAAATAGCAGAAGAAAGAATCAAAGAAGAAAAACTTGAAAAGGAGGAATCTGACCTAAAGAAAAAAGGACCTCCAATCAAAAGGGAACTTCTGAAAACCCGTGATTACAAAGTTGATCTTGATTCCAAACTCGGAAAGAGTATTGTCATAAATCTTAACACACCTACGTCACAGTCTGGTGGATACTACTGCAATGTCTGTGATTGTGTTGTTAAAGATTCCATAAACTTCTTAGACCATATCAATGGTAAAAAACATCAACGCAATTTAGGTATGTCAATGAAGGTTGAGAGGAGCTCACTGGATTCAGTTAAGCAAAGGTTTGAGCTGAACAAGAAGAAAATGGAAGAGAAAAAGAAAGATTATGATATGGCAGCTCGCATACAAGAATTAGCAGAAGAGGAAGAGAAACTCAAAGAATATCGAAAAGAAAAGAAGAAGGAAAAAAGGAAAGCTGAAGAAATGAATGATGATCAAGATCCTCCAAATGAATTAGCTAGTATAATGGGATTCTCTGGATTTGGGTCATCAAAGAAGAGATAATCCAATCAGAATTCTTTCACATCAGCACTTGTTTATTTTGAAAAAATATGTAATATACAATATTGATAATGGATGCTAGAAGTGTTAGCTTAACTGAGTATAGTGAACGACCCTAGAAAAAAAGGTAGTATTAGATTTTTTATTAATACTTGTTCAGATCCATTAGATCAAACCTGATGAAATTATATGAGTACAACATGAATCAACTTATGAACCTAGCTGTTGTTATTTCTATTCAAGGGCCCAGATTTTTTTGCAATGAATTTGGAAAAAATTAAGAAAACAATATATTCAGTCTTGTGCTCCCTTTGACAATCTCAATTACTCTACTATATAGAGTAGGACCAGGTTAACTTTGGGACCTCACATAGCCATATAGTTGAAGGCTTATGCATATTCAATGCATACATGCTTCCTAAGTTAGGACTAAGGACTAAACAATTTATTTTTGTTTCTCCTATATTTCATAAGGCATACTATTTGTGAGACAACTGATAAACTCAACTCTAGATAAGATTTTCACAAAATTATCAAAAATAGAACATGTTTTGCTAACATAGTTGCTTCTTCAAGTAAATTACACATGAATTGATTGGGCACTTATATGAAGAAACCAAACATTAGTTTAGTAGTTTGGGAAAATTGTTTGAATTAATTAATCATTATAGATGATTATTGAATTTTTTCCACAGACAAATATGTAATTTTGATTGATAATAAAAAAATATGTGCAAGAATGGATAAACCTTGGAATAATCTGTGGGTTTCTGAATTGGCTAACTCCCCAAATTCAGGTATTATTGGGAGGCTTTTGTATATTTTTGCAATGAATCATGTTTTTTTTTTTCAAAATGTTTCAATTTATCACTAGTCAAAGAATGAAGAAAAATGTAATGTTCCATTAGTAATTCAGCCACATTAGGATCTGCTTTAGGAATTCAGTCAGAAAATGGAACACCTATACAAATTAAAAGCTTATAATGACACAAGTTTGACATTTATTCTATGGAATATAGTTATTCTTTCTGTGATAGCAAAAAGGTTATAAATTTCATGGTAAAAAAGTGAGTACTTTTTTCCGGATATATATCACATATATATACATTGTGGATGGCTTCTGTTTTGCTATAGTTTCGAAAACTAAGCCAATAAAACCGTCTCCAAGAAAGAACTCGTGATTTGTTGAAATTAAATCACAGAACTAGACTGACAGATATTTGATTACTTCAAAAGAATGATGAAGATGCCTGCAATGCAGGTGTCATTCCTGTTAATTTAATGTTGATAATTTTCGGATTTCAATATAAAATAATATCTCCTCAATATTAATTCCTTCTTTTTCCTGTCACAGAAAAAAATTGTGTATTATACACGCGTCAGGAGACAACATGGGGCTAAAATCTATCACTTTTTCCCTTGTATAACAAATAATAACTATTTTTATACAAGGGATAAAGTAGTAAAATCTATTGAGAAGATCTGAAAATTATCGACATGAAATTTGAAGCTTTCAACTGGATTGACACCTGCGTTGCAGGCATCTTTATCATTTTTTTCGAAGTAATCAACTGTCAGTCTAATTCTGTTAGTTGTTCAATAATTAAACTAAAGGGACTCAACAAAACTTGAACTTTGTATTAAAAAATTATATCGTAATATTGTTCTTCTCAATTTTCAAGAACGTATATAGTGGACTCGATTTACAAAATTTAAGCCTTTAACAAAATTCAATAGTGGCAAAATTATTGGGTGCGGGGCAAAATGGTCAAGGATCAGATATCAGCTAAAAATATGGGATGGAAGTCAAGCCTTCCCAGTGCAAAATGCGAACAAGGACGAAGTCCAAGTGCAAATTATTTCAGGAAAAATGGGAAAATTGCTTTATTTTTCCCTGCTGCTGCCACTGACTCGCATGATTAAATAAATAGGTATCATAATGGTGGACATCTGCTTTTTTAATATTAAAATACATTTATCGTGTGATTGAACGGGTCCCTTTCATTGTCCCGGGCTTCCACAACCATTGATCTGGCTCCTTGATAAATAATTCAATTAATTTACTTGTTCAATAATATACCTAACTACCATACGATGTGGTTTTTTTATTACCTTTGAGCCGTTCCTGTTTATGTACTTTTCGGGCATAGCATCTTTGACATACGGTAAGGAATTGACACCACTACATCTGGTGCTCAATACACTATTGATGACATCTTGCACTAGTTCTGTTACTGCTTTGGCAGCATCTTTTCCACAAACTTTTGCTGCTTTGATATAATAACAATCAACTATGTTCTTGTATGTCCTACAATAAATTAACAGTAACAACTTTCAGTATTTGTTAGAAAATATGTATAGGTGCATGGTTTCTTATAAAAATGCCAAACTTTGAGTTTGGAGATTCCTACACTACCGTGAATAACTTGAAATAAATATAATGGAAAAGGCATGGAAGGAAGGGCCTCCTATCAATGCGGACATTGAACAGTAATGACAGAGAAATTAATTTATTATAAAAACATCGCTAATATTCACAGAATATCTACAGAGTCAGAATAGACGTTCAACTAGAATATTTGTGGGACTTCTCACAGGGTATTGTAGATTCAACAAACTCATGAGTGTATACGATAAGTTTTGGAGCGGAACTAGCGCTAATGGCAAGCCCGTCGAAAGATCAGAGTTAAAATCAATGACACCTTATCACGAGATTTCCCAATCGAGGCAGGCGTTCCAGAAGGGTCGTGCGTTTCCCTCAGTTATACTCTTATGTACGTACGTACGACCTTCCTGTGTACGAGAGTACGAGCACTGCATTGTACGCGGATGATACCGCTATATATGCACACTCGTGCTTCTCGGACGTCGCCAGGGCTCAGATCCCGCACCACCTGAACAGGAGGGTCGTACCACAGTGTGGTCGTACCGTACTACCGTACTTTGACAACGCGAAGATTGGTATAAATCAAGCCAAAAAGAAAGTTTACTAACAAAACGCTATTCCGAACTTTGCGTGTCAAAGACACTGACACTAAGGTGGAGGGCAAAGCCACTTTGAAATATCTGGGGGTAGTGGGGGTCGTCCTGGACAGATGTATGAAACTTTTTCGCTAACACCGAATATCGTTTGGCTAAAGCCAAGGCTGTGATCAGGAGCTTGCATCCGCTGTTGGCGAGGAACTTGGGGTGGTCTAGTTTGAATAACCCGCCATAAGATGTGGAATTTATGTGCGGTTCGCGCCCTCGAAACATCGGGAGTATTCGCGAGAGACTCGAAGCGTGACGAGCGCGCGAAAAACAGGGACTTGGCTGAGATCCGCGAGAAGGGGCACATCGCTGACCCTAAGATTGTACGTTTACCGGCCCAAGTTGCCGGAAGTTTGTATTTTGTATTTCCATGAGTATATTGCAGTAGGTAAATGTACTACTGGCAATATTAATATACGTGTTGATAAGTTTGTGTTTGATTTATTGCTCGCATTCACAAATTCATGAGAACAACCCTGAGAGAAGAAAAAGAGCAATTGGCGCCTAACAAAAATAAGAGTCCGAGCTAGTGCATTTGGCGCCCAACGTGGGGCGTCGTAAGTAAATTGAATCAACAATGAAGATCTTGCTGAAATCACAGCCTGGGGAACAAACAACCTAGTTGAATTCAACGCCACCAAAACTCAAGCCTGCATTTTCTCTAGAAAGGCGGAACTCAGTATGCCCGATATTGTAATGTCTGGCTCCACCATCCCCACCAAGCCCACCATATCTATGCTCGGTATTTCCATCAGCAACACTCTTTCATGGGATAATCATGTCAGATCCATCGCAAAAGCTGCTTCACAAAAACTCGGATTCTTGTTCCGTGCGAAAAGCTTCTTTACACCTCAACAGCTTCTCATGATCTACAAAGCGCAGATACGGCCTGTTCTAGAATACTGTTCCCACATATGGGGTTCAGCACCAAAACATACACTGATGCTCTTAGATTCCATCCAGAGAAGAGCCATTCGCCTGGTGGGTGACGCCACACTCACTCACTCTTTGACATCATTGGAACATCGTAGAAAGGTCGGCGACCTTTCACTTTTCTATCGATACTTCCACGGGAAATGTTCTTCGGAAATCTCTGCTATCATCCCTTCACTAGCAATACCAATCAGACGAACTAGACAAGCCCAGTCAGCACATCCTTTCGTTGTCAACCTCGAAAGATGTCGAACAGCACTTTATCAAGACTCCTTCATCCATAGAACGGCTAGGCTCTGGAATTCATTGCCAGTGGAAGTATTCCCAACAACATATAATCTCCAAAAGTTCAAAAAAAATTCCAATACCTACCTCCTGTCCCTATCCTCCCAAGGAACGCACGATGTTCTTTGAACATTATAGGGATTCCCTTTCGTGCGCTCCAAGCGATAAAAAAAAAAAAAAAAAAAAAACAAAGTGAACAATTTTGGATTGGATTCAGCAAATTGTACAGATCTTCGAATTGTTCGAGTTGCCGTTCAAGAAACTGTGGTTCAAGGTTAGTTCGAGTTTTTGGGATCCTGGGGCAGCAGAGACGGCAGATACCGGAAAGCAGTAGCGATCAACACTGTACCGTTACCGTTACATCGGTAGGGAGGAGTGAGAGCAGTTACCAAATGTTTATTTTACTGTTCACGCAGTGACAAAATTCCAGTTTTCTTGGAATTGATTGTTCTACGTGTTTGCGCATGAAAAATAAAAAAATAATTTTATGGATTGAATAGATTACTAGGTATATATTGGGGGATGTAGTTTTGAACTTTGATGATTTTGGGGGAGTTTATTTGTCGTTTCGATATTGATTTTGATTTGAATATGTGTATCGATTGATGTCATCGTACTTTCAATTATTTTACGTAGGTATAGAGATAGCTATTATTATCAAAATGCATCGAAGTGAGGGCAAGAATGCTGAACATAAGGAGAATAGTCCACCAGAATTAGATTTGGAAGATATAGTACGTAATTTAGTGGGGGGAATGTCCGAGTTGAAACATGATGTTGCGGATTTGGCAGTTGGTTTACAAAGTTTGTAGATTAAAAATAAAATTGGTGAAAAAATGCAGGTATTACAGGCTAATGTTTCTCAAAATGATCCTTTGCGGGAGAATTTTCAATATCTTTCAAACTGGAGAGAATTGAGGGGTAGTTCCTTGTAATTCTAGGAGTCAAGTCATAATTTTTGTCGGTTACTGAACCGAAAAGATACATATAATAATGAAGATGGAAAGCCCTAATTTGGAGTGACAACGGAAAATGACAAAACTCCAATGCCCCGTGTGAGTCTGTGAGTTCGACCTATGGATTACATGCCCAACGCTCTGCCAATGGGGATGTTTCCTATATTGAGGTAAATTGGGTGTCCTGATTTCAAATCTGGAGTGATTTTCGACCTATTTTGACTCCTAATATCATTATCCGGAAATTGGGGTAATTTCATGGCTGTTGGCGAGCAGTGTATTACTGTGTATATCACTGCAGATAACCCCACTTGGTCATAGAGTGCATTGTTGGTATATCTCTCGCTCCAGCAAATTTCAGGACCCTTACCCAACGATTACGTGAGATTCAGGGGTGATTCCATTACGAGTGGGTCACACTGTATATCATATACGCAGTTGCTCACTAACTGACAATATTACTTCCATTATGGCAGGTCATAGCCTTCGCAGAAAGCACGCGGGCTAATATACGAAGCTTGCGATATTTTCAGTGAACACCTGGGATAAACACCCACTTTCCCAATTCACCCCAACAGACTGAATGAACACCTTAATCCCAACGAAACTGGCTAAAGTCACGACTGTAAGGTGGTCTGGTCGACTCGAACTGAGTAATCGACTCTCGAGTGTACCGGCCCCCAAGGCGGGCCTGTCTGCGCTAGGGCCGGCGCTAGGCACATTCAGTATTCAGTGTCGGCTTGGCCTCCAGCCAGAAGTATACGCGGACTTTGTGCCGCAATCGCAAACTCGATAGTGCACAAAATTCATTCTGCTACACCCATCCTAACCACCATCCGTACCCCCACCCCTTCAACTAAGCATAGATTTAGATCTATGAACTAAGCAATATTTACGCTCGTTGAATTACCGAAATTGTGATTTTTGTTTTTATTTTCCACAAACATCAAAACGTTAAATTATAGAGAACTCATGAGCAGTAGGTAATCCAAACATTTGTGATTCGTCTGATTAGCTATGGAAAGGACTCTGTCCTAGGACATAGCTCAGCTGGCACCAACTCCAGCACACTTGTTGAATAAAGTCCGCCCCCTGCGCCACTCGTGGCCAACCTCTGGGCGCCGCGAGTCCTATCTAGATGGTTATGAATATATATTTTTGATTTGTAATGTCTTGTACGCGTTCATCTATTGATACATATTATAGTTATGATTTTATTCATACCAGTGGAGTCCGTTTGTAAATGTTTTCAAAATGGTAATAAATAGATTTCAATCGGTTAGCGATTAGTCTTGTGCGAGTTATCAATTTCAAAAGTTTCGTAGCCCCGGCAGAGATGGTTCGATCCGCACAATTGTTGCGAGCATCAGTCAGAGAAAAAGTTCGACGGTATGAAGCTGGTGGGTGTGAAAAACTACCAGCTGATCGTGAGAGCGGACCAATGCTACTTTTAGAGGGGCTCTAACAGGCCTAACGAGGTAGTTGGCAGGCCTGCCACTGCAGCATACGGCATGAGTACATATTGTTAGGCTACAATTACCCGGGGTTACTTTCGCTTTAGTAGGGCAAATAAGCCAGCTTATTGTTCCCATCAAATTCCAATTGAGAAATTCAACTTTGAAAGACAGAAATTATAAAGCTTAAGTGATAGCAGGTAATCATATCCTCAGGTTTCTCTAGCATTTCGTAATTCGGAGTCCCTTCGAAGGTCCAAAATTGTCTTGGACATTCTAGAACATTTTGAGAGATTTTAAAACATCCTACAGTTAAAAATATTCTCAAACCAAAGATGAATCTGTTATGTGACTGAAATTTTGCAAAAATTTCAGAATGATACATATATATATATATGTGTGTATGGTTATCCGGTAATCTGAATGGATGTCTTGAATGGAGTAGGTACCTATACTTATTTAGCATTCGTGGCCAACCTCTGGGCGCCGCGAGTCCTATCTAGATGGTTATGAATGTATATTTTTGATTTGTAATGTCTTGTACGCGTTCATCTATTGATACATATTATAGTTATGATTTTATTCATACCAGTGGAGTCCGTTTGTAAATGTTTTCAAAATGGTAATAAATAGATTTCAATCGGTTAGCGATTAGTCTTGTGCGAGTTATCAATTTCAAAAGTTTCGTAGCCCCGGCAGAGATGGTTCGATCCGCACAATTGTTGTGAGCATCAGTCAGAGAAAAAGTTTGACGGTATAAAGCTGGTGGGTGTGAAAAACTACCAGCTGAGCGTGAGAGCGGACCAATGCTACTTTTAGAGGGGCTCTAACAGGCCTAACGAGGTAGTTGGCAGGCCTGCCACTGCAGCATACGGCATGAGTACATATTGTTAGGCTACAACCACGCTACAACACACAACCGAAAAACTTTCGAAAGAGAGCTGATGGACGTTACCTAAAAAAAGTGTTAGTCAGCTGTCTTGAGCGATGACCACATCACTCATTACATATACTCATAAAAAGGTCTCATGCAGGGATGCACAGACTCATAGGGAACTTGGGCCACTCGGGTAAATTATAAGCCAAGTACGGGCCACTACAAATAATACATATTAACACAAATATTTATATTTATAAATAGTATGACTAGTAAGACTATTCGCATTGAAAGGACGGAACATGAGAGATCATGAGTGTATATAACTGCGAAACCAATTGATCTTTAGGAGAAGGGTACCTGTCCTGCGTAGTAAACCTGGACAAGAAAGAAGTTTAGTAGGTAGGTACTCGAAGATACATATCTCACTAACAGTTACAAAAATTAGAATAAAATGAAAAGTTAAATATTGATTTGAATATATTTTTACCTACTTTCGTAGTTTTTCGAACAATTTTCAAAACTCGTTGGCGGACCGCATAAATGTCAACAGTAGGCCACGGTTTGTGCATTAGGGAGTAGTTGCTGACGTGTAACCGTCCCCCACTTTTAGCAGTGCTAGTACCAGAGTACGATAGGTCTGACCAGAGATAAGTTACCCACAGAACCTGACTGAAAAACTGCTGCGCAGGTATTATCAGGAATAAGTGAAAACAGCACTGCACATTCTTTGCCACTATGAGGGCTTGTCAAGACTATACAATAGTTGCAAGACCATTCCTTACGCTGGAAGTGGAAAAACCAATAGCCTAATGATACACAGAGGAACTAAAAGGTAGTCTATGGAGTTTCATAGAACATAGAGAGGCAGGGCTAGTCAAAGAACTCTAAACGACTTACGGGCAGACGCAATAGAAATGAAAAGGTCGCAGTGAGGAGGCGAATGGCCCGAAGGTCCCATTTCATTCAACTAATCAAATCTAAGGGAATGGGCCACAAAGATATTCATTTTCCTAAAAGAATGATCTACCATCTAGAGATATTATATTATTACCCGGGGTTACTTTCGCTTTAGTAGGGCAAATAAGCCAGCTTATTGTTCCCATCAAATTCCAATTGAGAAATTCAACTTTGAAAGACAGAAATTATAAAGCTTAAGTGATAGCAGGTAATCATATCCTCAGGTTTCTCTAGCATTTCGTAATTCGGAGTCCCTTCGAAAGTCCAAAATTGTCTTGGACATTCTAGAACATTTTGAGAGATTTTTAAACATCCTACAGTTAAAAATATTCTCAAACCAAAGATGAATCTGTTATGTGACTGAAATTTTGCAAAAATTTCAGAATGATACATATATATATATGTGTGTATGGTTATCCGGTAATCTGAATGGATGTCTTGAATGGAGTAGGTACCTATACTTATTTAGCATTCACATCAAAATGTGGAGTCTGATGGTCTCATTTTCAAGTTTTTCTCGAAAATGGTACGTTCTATAGAAGAGGCCCTTTTTTGTACCAAGTAATTTGGAAACTCGCACCTTCGTTGATCACGTTTTAGTAAAATGCAAATGATATATAATCCTCCTAACGGCAGTACTGTGGAAATCCAATTGGCCAAATGTTCTGGGTTTCCAGTAAACCATGAACCTGATGATCGAGTTCATAAACTATCAGAAAACCATAAATTATTAAATTTTGAATTCAGTAAAAACCTCAAGGTTTTCGAGATATTGGAACTGCAGGAAGTTTCATAATACATGAAGGATCCAAATCAGAAAATATATTTTTTTGTGGACCGTGAATGACTACTATCGAAAATTTGCGTTTCTTAGGTACAACTATATACTATATTGGAAATAATTCTGAATTTCTGATTGGTGGAGCTATTAGCTACTCTTAAGTATTTGGAATTTTACAAGGTAGCTTATAACTCATCTGAAATTGGTTCAAAATCATAGGAAGAAAATAATCGGTAATACTCATCGTGGATAAGAATAAACATATGATTTGTTGGAAAAATCTGAGATAGCTAGGAATTCTAAATCTGGTTATCAGCTATGGGTCACACTGGAGACCCTGTGTATTGATTTCTGTTCAGAAAAAATTGTAGTTGCATATTGTTCTATAGAATCAGTGAAAATTGCAGTTATATACTTGCTTGCATAATTTTTCTTTTACGGGTTCTTCATTCCAATCAGCCGGACCATTACAGCTCTCAAAATCATTTGTCAACTCCCTAAGGCACGAATGGAACATGCTGTACCCTGGGAGATAATTGTGGAGTTATTCTAAATTGCATGCATGTATATCATAACAATACAAACTTTTGTAAAATTTGTTATCAGTGCAGCAAAGTTTATTATTCAGTACCCTCACTCCTCTTATCAGTGAAACGTATAATTCACTTTGATCAGAAGGTTTACATGTCTTCAGGTAGCTATCCGTTGATTTTAGGTTCTCCTCCAATTTTCTGAAAAAATATGTAGGTAATATCCATATAGGTACACCAGGTACCTATTGGTGATTAAATCATTCACAAAGAATTTTGTAAATTTTTGCACGAAATATTTCATATTATGTACTCACTTGCATAGTGGTTCCATATCATCAAAAGCTAAAGTAAAAATACTCTCAGGACTCAAAACTTCCATACTAGCCAAATGTCCCACTAATTTGTCTTCATTGCAAATGCCTCCACAGTCTTCAGCCATTTCTCCTGTTGAAATGATTTCGGATAGATAATGATTAATTGTGGAAATGGTGAATTTCGATACAAACCACTGTTGACTGAGTAAATAAGAAAGAAAATAATGACCAATAGTCGTTGTCTCATTAAAATTTCTCAATTTGAAATTATTCGATGGGGTAGGTAATGAAAATATAACAATTATTTGTGAATTTCTTAAACTACGAGAAATAAAAAAAAATGATTTTGTCACTGTCGAGTTTGACAGATCTCATGTAATATATCGGGACGGGATTATAGTGTGATTATAATCCACGTGGAGCAAATTCAAAAATTCAGAAAGTCGGTTTCTCTGCGGTTTTACACGTTTTTGGGGGTGATGAATCTAGATCTACAGTTTGCATCGAAACTTCCTGGAACGTTTACACTTTTTGCCAGTAATTTGGAAACTATTTTTTTGGCGAACATACCACCCCTTTCGCTGTAGCGATGACATGAAAACCACGGGAAGCATGTCTAACTTTCAATCTAATCCAGGAGTTAGGAACATTTTCCGGTAGTTTTCATGTCATTGCAACGTCAGATGATGACCTTGGCTACCGCGATATTACCAAATTTGCGTATTTCGCCGATTCACTCGTACATAATTTATGATGAAGAAATGCGTAGTTCTTGAAGAAACAAACTACACTGTCTGAGTTATTGCTTTCGACAGCGTGTAACTCGATTCATGATTTGTCACAGAACTTGGTATATCTACATCAAACAAGTTCCTCTCATACACATGGAAGATGAGTGTACCCTGGAGCAAAAACGATCTGCTCCGCACCTGCACCGTTACCACCTCCATTCTTCAGGGTACCAGCTCCCCGCCAAACGACGTTGTAGCGACGATTAGATTGTAGATTGTAGGGATTACCCTCATCTTCATTTTCTATAACCCATAACTCCGGATGGGACCTATGATTTTCTTGATAATTAAATTTTCCACCTCTGGATGCGTCAGTTAGACCTGTTGTAGGTGATTCAGCCTTCAGCGGACTAGAACATTACATGCATAAGCAAAGTATGTGTTCTGCGGAGTCGGTCACGTTGTCACAAATGCCTTACAAAAGCGGCAAGTTTAAGTCTCCGCTAGGCCCATTTTTTTAGTATTACCCCAGACGGCTGACCTTTTTGTTCTCGTTGACGTGGAATGGCTTATCGAGGCTTTCTCGCTGTCTTTCCATTTCCTGATTAGCTCTGCGATTAGATGACATTTGCTTGTTCTACAGAAAGTCTCAGGACCAAAGAATGAAGACCATTCACCATTTCTTTGTTGAGCGAAGATTGATTTCAATTCATCATCATAAAATGGATGTAATTCAATAGTTTGAATAGTTATTATCCGTTTTCATCGGAATCTGTGATACGACGCATCTTCGTATACGTCACTGCGAGTAAAAAAATTGTTCACAGTCTGAGCTCTCAGTTATCAGTTCACCCGGGCCGCCGTGATCATTTTGGTGCGAGTATAGACTCGCAATGACGTTATGCGCAGAAAAGACGAATTCAAGCTACCTGAGTAGCACACCATATAATATTTTCATCATGCTACGACGCATATTCGTATACGTCACTGCGAGTAAAACAATTGCTGGCAATCTCAGCTCACAGTTATCAGTTCGCCCGAGTCATCATGATAATTTTGGTGCGAATATAGACTCGCAATGACGTTATGCGCAGAAAAGACGAATTCAAAATACCTGAGTAACACACCATATTATATTTCCACCATGGCTGATCGTAGCCCTTGCACATATCAAATGAAACACAAGTTCTGTGAGTCCAGGATACGTCCTGGACTACGTCCGACCTGCCGCTGAACGTAGCCCCGGGTGTGGGCCGTCTGACAGAATGGCCGGACATCGCAATGACTGAGATGTTTATAATTCCTAAGCTCCTGAATACAGATGATGCTTAGAGGACGGAGAGACCACTTCTACCCATTGAACTCATTGTAGTTGTTTACATTGAGTTCAATGCTTCAACCCACTTCCTCGGTGAATGCCCGGCAGTAGTGGCAGCAATCGAATTTTTCGCGACATTGGCGTCATCTCGTAAAACCAACGCTAAAAACTGTCGTAGGCCTAGTTTGGTATGAAAGTTATTGTACCCTGGTCCCAAGGTTAGTAGATCTTCTACTAACCTTGCCTCTGTCTGCTATAATAGATGTCGACAGCCCACTGTGTTCATTGGCGTGATAATTTAGGCTTTCAAGGATATTTTCATTCATTCATTGTGAATAACGAGACGATGAGGTTTATAAATGCTTCATAATCTTGAGGCTCTGGTGAAACCATTATCTTGAAAAATTCTTGAAAACTACTGCTGCGTCTGTTGCGAGACGATCTTATTACTGGCGTACTTGATCATACTATCGATCTATCGAATCACTGGTTTTGCGATATTCGACCAATTCTAACCCCCATCCATCATATTATCTGTCATTTGTCAAAGTGTCAACTGTTTGAACTGATGTCAAAATTTGTTTTTGTTTCAAAAAACCATCAAAAAACCTATGTAAAAATAATAATAATTACATTAATTTCTACAAACTGAAAATTGTAGTTTATAGTGTTGTTATTGCGTAGATAGTATGTCTATTAGCTCTTGAACAAATCAAATTTATACACTAGTCCTTTCTACTCAAAATGAAAGATTCAACATACTTTATTGTTGCATTAATCTTGAGATATGTGGTATCAACACCATTAATTGTTCCTGATCAATGTATAGGTATTTGCAAGGAAGCAAAGCTGCCTCATTTAGATCTGGTAAATATGTAGACCTGGGTAGACCCACAAAATATGAACAGCTATTAGTTACCATTCAATTCCTCATTTATTTTAGGAGAACTATGAGCAAATAGTTTGTCAGAGAGGTTGCCGATTTTTTAATATTATCAACAAATTGAAATTTGATATGAAAATTAACACAACAAAGAAAGAGTGCCTAATTTGTAAGTATCCTAGATTTAAGTCTCAATCAATTTGAAATCAAAATGATTGATAATTATTTCAAGCTTGTGAAGAATCATATCTTGTGAAAAAGGAGAATGAAATATGCCAAACAGGATGCAATGAAATGGGAAAGATCCAAGAGGTATCATCTTCTGAAATGCAATAATTGTTGATCAATAAATCTTCTCTCCAATTTTTAGAATCTGGTATCTAATTTGCTCATAGAAACAGAAAACAGTATTGTGCTTGCAAGCCCAGAACAGGAAATTGAATTTGATGTACTATCTGATCCAAGTTTGAAAAGTCAGCTAGAAGTTGGTTTCAATGTGGAGTACAAAATACCTGAAACACACATTATAACTATGCCTATTGAGATAACAGAAGAAGTGATTCAGGTTAAAGAATCTGGAGACTGGTTGGATTGTGCCTCACGTAATTCAGGAATACCAAGATGGATTCTGCTATCAGCTATTTTAGCAGCAGTTCTCATTGCTCTATGGCTCAGTTTCTCCACTGATAAAAGAAATAATCAAGAAGAGGAGGAAAACATTGTTGACATAGATATACCTGATGATAAATTGATATTAGAAACAAATGAAACTTTGATGGAAAAAGATCAAACTGATTTGGATTGTGTGCCTATTTTGGTTGTTGGCAAAAACCACATTTGTCAAGAGTTACCACCCAAATATTCTCCAGAAAATGAGAAAATTTAACTCATGCTTTCATTATGTTGTTTTTATATGTGTTTTAGCATAGAGGTTGCATAATAATTATGATATCAGTGTCATTAATATGTATAGATTGATTCTCATTAATTTTCTATCTTCATTCATTGGTTTCATATATGTGGGATTCAAATGCTGTGAGAAGATATTCATTACAGCATAACTATAACCAAAAAAATAAGCTGAAATTCTGAAACTTCTGACTACCTAACCAGTTGTATAGTGAATCATCAATTTCATCCTTTTAAAAAGCCATTTTTTATCAAAATGAAAAAAAAAAAACTGGCAAGAGCTTACTATTCCATGTTTTCTGTTAACATTTATTGTTTGCTTTTTTATTCACTCAGACATATCTAAAGGATTATATGATTTTTCTGTGATGAACAAAACTGGCAAAATAAAACACAAACAGCACTCAACTAGCCTAGGAATTTATAAAAGTGATTATGGGAGGAAAATCAGACTTGGGATTCTCATTTCAATCAATAGCTTGGTTCAAATGGAATAGTGTGTTCAAGATAAGGATGTCTATCATGGGGTAAAGTTGATGATGGTTTCTCCAAAACAATATGTCATATGGAAAATCACTTAATGCTGTTTTGTAGAGCTTAAAAAGTGACAATGGAAAAGTGTCTCTTGGTTTCCTATATTTTGTTAAATAACATCACAAAAAAATAAAAACGATCATTGCATGAGAATTCCTGTTCCTTGTAGCATTGACAAGAGTCAATACTGGATAGTAATAGTAGAAAATTATATGAGGGGAAAGAAAATAAATCTGAAAATATTTTGAGTCCTTGATGCTGTAGGTGCTTGCTTGAAGAAGTTTAATTTTCTACACTTGAGTATACAGTGCGTTCAATCTCAAACTGGTTATTGAAGAGTTCTTGGAAATAAGATATTTCACCATGTTGTAAAGGAAATCCCTACTGTATTATTCTGACTCACCATAAACAGTATACTATACATGGGACATAAAAATGAAAAATCTTTTTTTATTTTCAGCAGGGTGTAACTTTTAGGAGGAGAAGTTTTTCAAAACATTTTATACCAAATGCCCACCTTAATTTTTATTACAGACTCACCCCTAAATTTTTTTCAGTGGTTTTCAGATGTTTGCAACATGTTTAAATGAACTACTCTACTATCTATAAATGATTTTTTTTTATGAAAAACTAATTTGTACAATAATTTCATTTCGGTCCGAAGCTCTGCCATTTTATGTATTGATTATTCAGTTTATTTCATTTGTATCCTTATTTTGAGACATTATTACCAAAAGGGGGAGGGGTAGAAAACACAAAATCATCTCCACAACGTTTAATAATCGAAGGATTATTAAGGGAAACATGTTTCGGACAGTCATGTGTGCATCATCAGACTTAATCCTTGAAATCCAAAGGTCCTATAATATTATTATGATACAAGTTAATCATGAAAAATAATGTTTTTTTTCATTCCCACGTGAATAAATTCTCTATTTCATATATTTGTCATGATTAACTTGTATCATATTATAGGACCTTTGGTTTGTAAGGACTAAGGCTGATGATGGACACATGACTGTCCGAACCATGATCCCCTAAATAATCTTATGATTATTGAACGTTGTGGAGATGATTTTGTGTTTTCTTTCATCACTACACTGCACTTAGAGAAAAGTATGGACTTCTACATAACATTTATTATCAAATTTCTGGAAATCTTTCCAATCATGAAGTTATTTATTTATTTATTTATTTTACATTAATAGTACATTTTGATGGAAGTGACCAACAAGTTATGTCAAAATGGGAGAAGGTACATTAAAATTTTAACATTTTGTGTATTTATTCACTGATGATGATTTTCCACTTTTGACAATTTTTCAATCTGATGACTCATTTTGATGGAGGCACAGACAGATGGTTAGTCTGGTGAATGCGTGATATATATAAAAAACGAATGGAACAAATAGAAGTGATTACTTCTATTCAAGTTAATGTAGGTGTATTGTGATAATTATCCATGTTTATGAGTTTCTTTGGATTCATGACAAATTAAACAATAATCTTGAAACTCTGTTAGAATTTTTGTTTTATATTTATATAAATGTAATGATAGCCTATAGTCATATTATGTATTTATTGTTATGATGCAGCATTATGTTTATTTTTAAGAAAATGATGAATATGTAATCATTGAGTGACTGTAATTTGTGAAATAAATAAAAACGAACCAAAAGTCAAAACATGTATTCATTTGTATGTAGTAATAATAGTGAAATTCTTCATAGTATAAGATCCGGCGTGAGGATGTATACCCTCATCTGTTAATTCAATAAAATATAGTTTATATAAAATATAGAATATAAAATGAAAAGAAGCTCGACTATGAAGTGCAATGATCTTATCTCGGAAAATAGGGGCGCTAGCCGGTTTGAATACGCCTAGGTCAGTCCCCAAGGGCGGCGATGTACAGTCGCATTAAAAAAAAGCGTACAGAGAGAAATTAACGTCATCCTATTCTGCATAAAACGGGCTATCGGGAATGATTGCTTACCAAATGTTGACAGACAGACAAAAACACAAAGCATTGGCTGAACCAGTTTAACACAACTAGAACTAGGATCCCGAAATCCTCTCTTCTTAATACTTGTACGCATTTTCATTGAATACGACTGTACGTAGGGTAATTTTTCAGTGTTATAGACGATAATCTAAGAATGTATGCCCTTTGGCGAAACAAAAAATTCCGATCCTTTAATAAAGGACCTCGCACTTTCCTTATGGAAAATGGCTTTCGGTTGTGAATTCCCTGAATTTTTGGTATGATGTAGATTTTGACTACCTTAGCAAAAGTGTCCATGGGCACAAAGAAATCGGCTGACTAGTTTTCGAGATACAGGGTGTCAAAGATGAAAAGTGAAGCTTTCTGCTCAGAATTTTTAAAAACTACGAGAATTGACAAATCGCCCATTTATTCATGGAATAACATGCCTGAATGATGGTACAATATGTCATCTGGATCTCGTATCCATTATAATTTCACGTTTTGGGCTCTACAACAGGGTGAACAAAGAAGAAAAATCCAATTCGATTAATTTTAAACCAACCAGGGAAGTTTTTTCATGAGAATCAAAGATCCAATTGAGCCTGGACGAACTTCCTCAATCTCGATCGACGTTTACTGACTTTTTTTATTTACAGGGTGGTTCGAAAATAGGGATACGTCAATCCCTAGTTTTTGAATCGGAAAGGGGAGAGCATGTCATTATATATCAGACATTCTTTAATGTTGAGAACGTCGCATACTCATTTCATATATATAGGGTGATTAAAAAAATACAGTCCAAGTTTATTGAAAAAATGCGGTTTTTTCAATGAATACCCTGTATTTCGAAAATGAACCGGGCAATTTTCTTGAATTTTTGATATAATGTACGATTTGAGGAGTCCGAGATATTGTCATCAATATTAGCATAGGTCTCCGGACTCGTTTATCGGCTATATACTTTTGAATGTACGGATTTTATTGATACCCGATATACTCCATTGGAGTCCGAAATGGGCTATTTTCCAACAATTCATGTTGAGAAATATTCGATTTTGAAAGCAATTTCAATCCAGATTGCGAAATATTTTATATCATCCGTCTCAACGGACTAAATGTTAATTACAGCGCAGATAACTGCACACAATTCAATAAAATATGTGAATAACTATCTTCATATTTTCCTGAAAAATTGTCACATGGATTGAACTGACATAAGTTATCATCAAAAACAGGGTGATATAAAAGTTTCGTTCATCATTTTACCTATGTTGGAATCGATTTATTCGGTACGATGACAGTTTCCATTGGTAGAGGAGAGGAAAAACGATATGGAGTTTCATTCACGTGCTTAACTTTGAGAGCTATCCAAATCAAACTCGCATCCAGTCTAGACACCAGCTCTACAATTTTGTCAATGAGAAGATTCATGTCCTGAAGAGGCCAACCAAAGGAAATCTTCACTGACCATGGTACAAAGGACCCCGCACTTTTAGTACGTAAAATGGTTCTCGGTGAAATTTTCTGAATTTTCAGTATGTTGTAGAATTCGATGAACTGATTGAACCTGCAGAATCGTAAAGTTCTTTGATGAACAGATTCTGAGATACAGGGCGTTGAAGTTACAAATCGGTATTTTTCATTTAATTATTTTCTCGAAATTCAAAGATGCCAAGTACAATTTTCTTCGCTCATATCATTAACGAACCTCCATATTAGGTACTCAACATAATTCAGATGGTTCAGATGATGTAATTGTTCACAGAGTGAAACATATAAACATTTCAGTGATGTCTGAAAATTCGATGTAATAATGAAATATCGAAAAAATAATTTAGGCATGCAATATACTATTCTCATTCCATCAGGAATCACAATTCATACATTTCATACAGGGTGATTTGAAAAATTGGTGACACCTAAGACCGATTTATTCATACACATCCTGTATATTCGAGTGAATTGTTAACCTCCCAAGATAGCTGATACCGTATGAAAATGATTTCGTTGAGATATATAGGGTGATCATGAAGAGTTTCGATGACGAAAATGACAAAAAATCGTGTTTTTTGAAATCACCCTGTTATTCATGATTAACTCGGTGAAATTCCCTAATTATTATTTAATATATTCATCATTCGCTCCTCAACGCTGTCTTGAAAATTCATAGTCAAAGTTCAAAGTCATAGTTATTAATTCAGGAACTTACCATTTGCGTGAAGAGGTCGATTTTCATTTTGGCAGATCTTGTATACCAACGAAATTCGCCTAACTATCTGTACATTATATTAATATTATTAAATTCATATATCTGCTACTGTTATTGAATCTCTAATGTTCACCCTGTATATGAATACTAAACTTATTTTCGTCTCCACATTCTCACGTTTCACTATTTATGAAAAATATCGGCCACTATGCGAATGTAAGTGAACAAGTTAGGTACGTAGTTTTTGAAAGGTATCAGATTAGTATTAAGGTCAGATAATTTATACGACGTTATGAAAGCAGATGATATTT